CATCATTAACTAAATAACTTTCAGGGTAGCTCAATTCAATGTAGTAGTTACATAAAATAAAATTGTTAAAGCTTTATAAGATTTTAAGTAGAGTGAGTAAGCTCCAAGTTGATTAGTTTGTAATCACTAAGCCAATGGCACATTTTGGCAGTCACTCAACTTGTGATGCACACAGAGAAAGTAGATGAAGCTAATGCTGCAGCTGCAGAGTGATGCCAATTTTTCAGCGCCCGGCAATTACAAAGGCCAAAAAGTTAAGCGCCAACTGTCAAGTCAGGTGAGAGGTAAGAGCTAAGTGAGAGAAAGCTGCAACAGCATGAGGAAGTAAGCCCGGGTCGCAGGAGAGGTAGTTGCCACTTTAATGAAAAGTTTTTGCTGGGGGCCGCTTAGCGGTTTGGCAACTTCAACGGCTTGTGCCACTTGCACCACAGTAGCGGCAACATCAACAGCAACAACAACAACAACAACAGCAACAACAGCAGCAGCGGGTAATCAGCCGTGTTATGGCAGTTTTGGCAGCTCCGCTGCCTCTCTGTGTGTGTGTGTATGTGACTCAATCTGCGGACTGTGCCGCCTATCGTGGCCCTGTAAAGCGGTTACGGTTACGGCTCTGGGGATTACGGCCTTGTGGCGCACTTGAAATTGTAGTTGCTACTGCAGCTCTTGTTATTGCTATTGTTGCTGTTACTGTTTGACAGCAACCGGATAATCTGCTTGGTGTGCATCCGTATTCTCATCATCATCATCATCATCGTCCTGTTTGCCCATCTGTGTGTGTATCTGTGTGCGTTTGCTTGTGTGCTTGCATTGGTTTCATCGCCTTCGTTCTGTTTGAGTTTTAGTTTTCATTTTCATTTATTTTCTTAGTTTTTCTGGGCTTACCTTCCCAAAACCAAAAAAGAGTCAAACTTTGTGAAAGGTTTCTCTCGGTTACATTTTTCTGGCGTGCAAATGCAGTTCTTGTTGTTTTTGTTCTAGTAGTTTAGCTTAATGTTCTTATTTTTGTTGTTGCCTTGTGTGTTGCATTGCATTTTGTGTTTTGGCGGCCGTTTTGTGAAACAGCTTTTAGTGGCTTCATTTGTTTAGCATTTGGTCTCTGTGTTGGTATATTAAATCGGGTTCCATTGGCCGGATAAAACGGGCCAAAGCTATCTAAGTATTTTTGCTAACGACTCAGATACTGATGCACTTGCAGCACCTTTGAGTAAATTTAGCTGGAGTGTTTATGAAACTTGTTGAATATGTATAGTTAGAGCCGTTGATGGCATAAAAGAATGTAAAGCTTAATTCTCAATGAGCTTATGAAAATTAGATCTCAAAGTTTAAGCACTGATACTCCGTTTGATATATATTCATAGTCCTTGGCAAATATAAATCCTTTCTGTTTTAAATTCAGAATATAATGCTTATTAAATACAAATAAATTGACATAGATAAAAGCTCAAGTATAAATATTTAAACATTTATAAAAAAATTGGCGATTCTATAAAATTACTATAAATTTTAATACAGATACTTGACACAGTCATAGTCGAAATATTTGAACTTCATCTTATATTTGGCAGCGCACATTATCCTTGACACTTTCAGCCGCCATTTGCATTTTGTTTTTCATTTCGCTCTCATTTCTTTTTTTGTTTGGTTTTCCCTTTTAGCGCGGGCGAACTGCTTTTGTTTACTGAATTATCAGTGAGCTCGTTAACCACGTTAACCCCGACAACGCAGGGAGAGCTTGAGCCCAACCCCAACCCAACCGCCCATTGCGATTGCGTGTTACTGACACTGGAGATGCATCTGCCTGAAAATGATTTGACATTGATGCTTTGGCTTGCCTGCGGCCGAGCTCTTGAGCTCGCCGAGCGCTGACCTTTAGCTGAACGTTCGGATTGAATGATTACCCTCACTGACTTAATTCGAGATACATATTTAAATGCGCGCAACAAATTGAGTACTTCGAGAATCAATGAAGGCGTTTGCCACCACAGCCATTTGTAACTATGTTGCCATGCTGCTGAAAAAACTATTTTTCAATTTTCGCGTAAATAAAAGTTTTGTTTTTAACAGCAGGCGCCGCGTGTGAAACGCATTTGTGCTTGCCATTTTCTCGAGTAATGCAACATCCATTAAAACATTCAACTTTGAGGGAACGCAACATTAAACAGAATGCTCGCTCACACACAGGCTCGCGAACACTAACTCAAACAGGCAGGCAGACGGCGATAGCTTTGCACGCAGCTATTAGCCACATATCGATTGCCAATATTGGCAATTGACTGTGCAGGCAACGGTGGTGGGATGGAGGTGTGTGCGTTGTGCACAAGGACAACTAAATGGCAGCACGTTGACTAAAAATAAACTCAAGCAGAGGCCAGAGCTGAAACTGTAACTGTAACTATAGTTGTAACTGAAGCAGGTAGCAGCTGCCTCCTGACGGTAAAGTGCCAACTTATGCCACACAAAAATGCTTGAGTATAATGGACATACCCCGTACAGAGGCAGCGTGGTGTGGTGCGGATGTGTTATGGGAGTGCCGTGCTCTGGCATGCAATTGTGCGACCACAAAAGACCGTAGCAAAAGGCGAAGGCGAAATGCAAAAGTGGAACGTAGAACGTTCGGCGTTGGCATTAAGTGGCATGTGGCAGCAGCAGCAGCAGCAGCAACAGCGGGTACAAGGACATTGATAATGATGAAAAAATTCCCAAGCACACACACACAAGCTTACGCTCATAGTATACCGATGTATACACAATTTATCTGCTGCCTCGCTTGGCACACACTGACGAGAATAAAAATTGCACTGGCAGCCCAAAGACAGTGACAAAAAGCCACTTGCAGGCCAAATTTACGTTTGTGTGTATATACCCTTACTGCTGTAACCCTTTGGCCATGTGATGGCATGTTGCACAAGGTGCATGGCTGCCACCTGTGTGGTGAAAGCGGCTGTGGCAACCAGCAAACGAAATCGACCTTGACTGACAGCTTGACATGAACTCGACTGCTCTCAACGTTGCAGCTGCCCCTTACTTACAGCAACTAACACACATACTCTCTCTCTCTCTCTCTCTCTCTCTCTATCTATCTACCCACAAACACACACACTTTAGCCCTCAACAGTGGGCTCATTATTTTCGCTATAGCCGGTCAGCAGGACGTGAAGCCCACGTGAAGCCCAGAGAGAAATGGGACAGGGTATGGTAAGGTAAGTATGCAGAAATATATAGGTGTATGTGTTTGTGTATGTGTGTGCACCTTAATTTCGCCAAACCGCAAAGAGCTTGGCGAACTTGTGGTAAACATTTGAAACTGCTCTTAGGCATATTTTTTTTTCTGCTCTAATTATTGTTGGTGGATTTAAATGTTTTGTTGCGTGTTTAAGACTCATGAAGCGACCAGTTTTATCAGCCCTATGTATAGATTTACTAAATAAAATATAATTACTAAAGCATTTCAAGCGAAACAATTAAAAAAGGATGACTCATTCGTTCTCATTCATTAGACAAGTCTGATCTTAGACGATTCATATGGAATATATTTGCCTGGAATGTTTTAATGATAAATTAGTGTATCATGTATCATTAAACATGATCCCAAAATCTATCTTTTGTACATGAGCCCGAAATCTATAGCTTGCACAAATATTTGCGTATTGTTGCTATATAATCGCTTGAATTTGAGTTTATGAAATAGTTTTAAATCAAACTTGTTCGATTTATCCATTTAAGTATGTATTAGGGAATATTTGATCAAGTCTCAGTCAATAGACAAGAATTGTGTTTTTCTTTTGGAACTCGCAGGAAAGTCTTCATCTATCTGCTTTTGAGATTGCAAACATTTTTTTCGTTTGCATCAGCGTTGCAGTTACGCAGACTTAATTCATAACCGACCCCAGAAAGTAGGCAAATGCCTGCAGGTCACTATGTGTCATTGTGTGTGGGAGCGTAATGTGAGAGTAGTAGTGAGGGGCGAGGTCTGTGTAAGGTATCCGGGTATGAGGTGTAGATGTGGGTGGGGAGCATATAGCCCGCATGTGAAAGCTGTCATGTCATCGCCGTTGTCGTTGTGGGCGCTGCGTCGGTTTGAGTCCGTGTCAAAGGTTCATAAATTCCTTTTAATCCTGCTTTATGGCGACATCACATCGAACATGAACCCAAGCGCGACGACGACGACGTTAAAGACGCGACTTCATTTGCATTTTACAACTTCATTTGTGCGGCCAAATGCGCGGCGACATAAAAAAATGTTTGCAATTTTTACACAAAACCAATTGGCGCAATTTGTGTGAAGTTGCGAGTGTGTCTTTCTGTATGTGACTGTGATATAAAATTATTGCTTAATCTGGTCGAGCGACCAGGGCGTGTCAGACAAACACGCCCAACACCCAACATTCAAGAGGGAGGTAGGCAGAGAGGGTACAGCAAATGTCGCACGACAAGCGACAATTATTTTGAATGGCCATGCCCCTCCCTTGAACGGCCGCCCGCCTCTCTCTGATTGGTGGTGCAAACAGGAAACGAACATTTACACCGCTGTCGATTGAGCCAGTCATTGACCCAACTCCTACAGAAAAGAAAAAAAAAAAAAAAAAAACAGAAACAAAACGAAAACAACAGAAATCATTAAAATTCGATTTGGTTTTCATTTTGTGTATTTTGTTTCAATTCTCAACTAATTTATTTGTATTCATTTTTTTATTTTGTCTTTTGAGTTTTAGTTTAGTGACACCTTAAAATACATTTTTCTTGTTGTTTTCATTATTGTTAATTACAAGTTGTTCGTTTGAATTGAGTTGGCGTTTTTTAAATTTATTCCATATTTCCAACTTTGATTCAATTTGATTTCTCGCACTCTTGCATAACTTAAACCTCTAATAAAATGTCTAACAATCAAACGTCAATCAAACTATCAACCAATGCCAGCAGTCTGTGCCAACTCAATTCCACTTAGAATATACATATATTATTTAATTTTAGTATAAATAATTACTATAAATTGAGATCGCTTAAAGTACAAAAACACTTTTAGTTAGACTAACACGAGAGCTTTGGGACATGTATTCTTCATTCTGGATAGGAATTGAAATAGTTTTTTTCTTGGGGAAAAGGGATCTGTCTATACACTTACAATGTGACTGTTTAATATGCGTAGCGAGTAGAAAGAGTGGAAAATTGTGTTTCTATAATACAACAGAGGGGCTGGCATTGGAACCATTTGAAAACCCCCAGCTACCTAATACTTACTATATAAAATTTCAATCGGATGAACATTATCTTGCAGGCAGCCAATTGGCAGATGATTTAAAATGAATTACGAAAATGGACAAAATATTATTTTACTTCTCATGCCCCAGTGCATGACTTTTAGTTAAGATCACAGAGAACAATCCTCTAAAACGAAAAAGTTGATTTCTTGAGATATAACAGAAATCATTAATTTGGGTATTAAAAAACTATATTGATTGTTTTTCATCAAAATTAAGAATCAGTTTTACTACAAGTTGATATTGAAGGTAAGTATAAAAATCTTAAGCATTCTACTTTGTGTTTTTCTTAGGAACCATCGGACCAAAAATCTCTAAATGTGTGGAGCTACTACTTCTGCAAGATAATGTGGGCTTCGGTGCACCGAAGTCATTTTCTGGTTTCTGGCTTATTCGTCGGCTGTACACAAGATCGATTAGCTCTTGAAGATATCATGGCCGGGCTGTGGAGAGGCGGCTCCACTAGCCCCATTGCCAGGTCCATTGGTATCGGCATTCAGACGCTTCAGCATTGCATTGCGATGCAGCCAATAGGGCGGCGGATCGGGTGGTTGGCCCGGCAGTAAAGTTTTCGCCTTCAGCGTCGATGCTGGCGGCTTTGGACTGTGCGAAGCAGCCGCCGCACTATACATTACAGGATCGGCCAGCTGGGCAGCGGACTGGCCGCTAATGGCAACCCGAAGTGGCGTCTCCTTTTTGCGTATGGTGTCGCAAGTCTCCTTCATCTTGCACAGCTGATCCTGCAGATTGCGGTACTCCTCCAGGAATCGCTCCAGCTGCGCCGCATGATAATCATAGGCAGCCACCGAGGAGTTGGCTGCTCCGGCGGCCCGTGTCGCCAGCGCCGAGAAGTCAAGCAACGGCGTCGCAGCGCTGCTCAGCGAGCGCTGATGCTGCACCGGTGACGAGGGCAGACTGGGCTTTTGACCCAAGTGGTGGGCATGGATGCCACTCTTGTGGGCGCCACTCTGCACCAGATTCAAGAAGCTGTTGGCTCGCTGGCCTCCGCCCGTGTAGGTTGTGGTGCTGGCATAATTCGCATAGCTCGACTCGGCCGAGTATCGCCTGCCCAATCCTATCGCCTCGTTCAGAAAGCTTCCGTCCCCAAGCGTGCTGCTTCCGTACTTGCTCGAGTTGTCCGCCAGCAGTGGGGATTGGCTATCCGATGAGTTGCGGAAATACTTGCCACTATGCTTCAGCTTTCGTGGCAAGGTGCACAGTCCTCCGTTGGCGGCAGCCGTGCCAGTGGGCGGATAGGCGTGGCCAGTTTGCGCCGCCTGTGCCACAGCATACTTGGCAATGTCCAGCAGATCCGGATAGTTGCTGTCGAACAGATCGTGCTCCTGGCCATCGCCATTGCTGCTGCAGAACACCGAGGTGGCCATCTCATCAGCCGCATGATTCCCATAGTGGCTATATGGCGTGCTTGTCGCTTGGGTTGACTGATTGACTGGCAAGCTGTGCGGCGATGTGATCTTGGTGGTCGCAATGGGCGTTGTCTTCCAACTAGTTGCATGTCCCGCGTATCCAGCAAGACGAGCAGCTGCATCCACCTGACTAGATATCGAGCTTGAAGCCGAGTCAGTACTGTAAAGGGATTACGAAAAGAAAACAATAGATCATCATTATAAGGGTGCGAAGATAATGTTATAAAAACTATTTCAAATATTGTGATAGTTTGAGCTTGGAAAATTGAATAACTAAAAAATTTATGGAAGTATGAACATGCGACGCTCTAAAATAAGGACCTGCTCGTCATCGAATATAAAGTCGTCCCGTCGTGTGTAGTGGGTACTCATCACACATTTGATATTATGGGAAGAAAATATGCATCGAATAATTTGATTCCATAGGACTTTTTATACAACTTAAATAATGTATCTCATTTTCTTATAGATGTTATGTGTCTATCCTTCTGCCTTAATTTTGTATTTTGTTCAAAAACTAAATTTCTATAAATAATCGAAATTTATATTACTCCTTTTCTACTCGCTCTTCTTTGCCAACGAGCTTTATCTGCGTTTCCATCGATTAATTAACACAACCCCTTTTCTTTTAAATCATATATCTATTTTTGGAATTGGCCTTTGAGGCATCCCTTCATATGTTATGTGGTATTCATACTATGTATATAATCATTATTTTGCACATGAGTAGCACTTGGAGCACACAGCTCATAGTCGTTTCCTCTGACACGAGAGGCGCCCGTCGGTGAGGGGCGACCAAAAATAAAACACTCGTCTCATATGTGTGTGTGTATATGTGTGTGTGTGTGTGTGTATGGTAGGCAATGCATACTTCGCGCGTCATTAGCAAGCGCCTTCAAATGAAGTGATGTGTGAGGGGAAACCGGATTGGCGCAGCACTCGAGCGGAAAGTGTCAAGTGTTGCCCATAATATGAACGGATCCTTCGGCGCACTTGAGCATGACAGCTCTTTGACGGGGCAAGTGCAGCACAGGACACAATTGCCACTCGAAGTAACGAACCGCAGAGAACAAAAGCAACCACCACAGAGTGTGCATATGTGGTTGTGAATGTGGGATTTAGGAAGGAAGGAAGGCTGTTGGGTCAACTTACCCGCCGATGTCAATCAGGCGTGGTATGTGCAGATCCGTTTCCTCAACGGTTGTCACAGCATTATTCACAACGGATGCGGAAATGGCATTTGAGCCCTTTCTTGGCGCCAGCTGTGGCTGCTGTTGCTGCTGAAGCTGCTGCTGCGGTAGTTGCGATTCCACATCATCGTCGTCGCAGTGCGTGGACACATGCAGGTAGTCGCCGTTCGTGCGACGCGTGCCATTGCCAGCGCTCGGATTCACAGTGGCTGCCTGGCCCACTGCGTCTTGATCGTTGTTGAGTGGGGTGTGGGCTGCCCGCAGATAGTTTTGCTCCTCGGTATCTTGAAAGAGTGCTGCTCCTGTGGCGCTGCCACCGCCACAACTGGCGCCGCCACCCAAATCCGGCCGCACTCGGGCCGTCATCTCAATCTTCTCGTAGCTCTCGCTGCGTCGAACCGGTGGCACTGAGTTCCACAGTCGCAGCTTGCGTCGCCGTCGCAGCGAGCAAAAGCAGATGGCCGCAAAGGATGACCCAACTACAAAGAACAGCGCCGCCAGTACGCCCAGCAGAACAATGCGTACACCCAGCGAAGCCTCCGGGGGGCGACGGGAGACGGCAAGCGTTACGCTGGCCTCCACCTTGCCGGCCTTGTTCTCGGCGGCGCAGGTATAGATGCCCGCATCCTGCATGTCCGCCGTGAGTATTGTCAGATTGGAGGCATTCCGCAGCATATTGACCACATAGGTTTTGCGACCCTGTGTCGCAGCAGCTGTTCGCGGCTCCTCGGCATCCTCGCCCGCACGTGCCGCACTCAGATTGGCAATCAGGCGATTCTTGAGCAGCCATCGGACTGCCGGCTGGGGCACACCCTCCACATAGCAGCTCATTGTCACATTACGTCCCTCCACGCCATGGGCGGTTGTGTCAGTGGCAACAATTTGTGGTACACATGCAAAATCATCCACATCCAGTTTGTCCCAGGCTCGGCCGGCCAAACGAGACGGTGACTCACATGTGGGCGGTATACCACTGGGTATATTCTGCTGGAGCATCCACGCCCGCAACGGTCGCAGCGAGCAGCTGCAGTTCCAGGCATTGTTAGCCAGCTCCAATCCGTGCAGCGAGGCCAGCGATGTAATTGTGCCCGATCTGACCTCGCTGAGCCGATTGCCATCCAACTTGAGCCACTCTAGGCTGCTCTCCAAGCCGGCAAAGGCGCGCACCGCCACGCTGGATAGGCGGCAGTCGCTCAGCTCGAGTCGCACCAGCTGGGGCACATGACCGAAGGCGTCATCCGGCACGCGGGTTATGGGATTCCCAGTGAGACGAAGCTCGCGCAGCTCGGAGACATGGTAAAGTGCTAGCGAGGGTATCGCTGCCAGCTGATTGTGACTCAAATCCAGCTCCACCAGATTGATAAGCTTGCGGAACGCATGACGCTCTATGAAACGCAGACGGCATCTGGCCAGGTAGACCTTCTGCAGGTTGAGTAGCTGGGCGGCGGCAAAGATGTCGTCGGGTATGGTTTGAATATCGTTGCCGCTTAGGTCCAGCAGCTGGGTGCCCGCATCTAGCGGCTCGGGGATATGTGTGAGGTTGGCGTTAAGGCACAAGACGGACTCCTTGCCGCTCTTCCACTTGCACTCGCATACCGACGGGCACTCGGCGTGAAGCTGGCTGAGGCAGCACAGCAGCCACAGCAGCTGGCCAAGCGGTATGGGCGGATGCAGTCGCCGCAGTGGTCGCCTCTCCCGTCCTTTTCGCCGCACCTTAGTTGCCAGCGTGAGCTGCTGGGCGCTATGATCGCTGGCTATATCGCGGGGTCGCGGCACACAATTCTCCTCCAGCGCCGCTGTCGCTGCTGCCATCGCATACTAGGATTGTGAACGTGGCACGAGCAAAACCGCTCAGCTGATGTTGCCTGCAAAATAAAAAAAATGGAGAGTGTGAACTGGCTGAGTGATTTAAATGTGAGACGGTGGCATTGGAGTCTATTTCAAATTAAATTTTATCTTGTATCGTACAAGTAAACAGTTGTACTTATTGATCATTTTAATTAAGTGTGAGACAGAGAGAGAAATTAATTAGAGTTTAAGGGGCGTGGAATTATTCCTCTAGTAAGAGTGTTTAACAAAGTCTCAGTACCATAATCATACTTTAATATGTAGCAGTCAAAAACTAAATTATATTTCCTTCAAAACGATTGCGCTCTTTTCCTTCAAGCTGGTGATCACAACAATGATATCGATTGATATCGATATTACATGTTAAGCACACGTTACATGTTAAGTTACAGATGTTATGTTACAGTCTTCGTACTACACTAGTCAGCTGCTACATATATGAAATCTTTCAGTAACATAATTAATTCAATTTCAGTCAAATACTTTGATACTCCAATACTCAAGCAGCTTTCAGCACTCATAGTACTCAAAACTCTTTGATACCAATTACATCAGCTACAAAGAACACGTCACTTAAGCGATTTATGTTTACACTGTTAGTGGTCGCTATGCAATTAAATTGGAAAAAATATTAATAATTGTTGAAGATTAGCGTAAATTAAATTCATTGAAAAATTTCCAGATTTCATGAGCTTAAATACTAAGTAATACTAAATGTTCTACATGCTGATCAAGCTTCATTATCCAGCTGCTTTTTAATATAAGCTTCAAATGGCTTGAAATCAGGCTAAAATGTACTGCTTACATAAGAGTTGAATTTCAATTTTGTATATTACGCTTATTCAAAGATCATAGCAATATTTTCCTTCACATTGGCTCTTCAGTGCGTGGCCTATATGTATATACATATCAGCCCCTTTTGTGTACGCCCATGGTTATAGCTATGTAATGCAGCTGCCATAAACATTGCATTTGTGACATTTTAATAAGCCCTTCGTTCTCGGTGTGCTTCCATCATAAATGTCACTTGGCGCAGCGACATTAAGTCATAACAACACCAGCCCAACGAGCTCAGCCTAGACGTAGTATTCGCTTCAATTTGTACCTCTGCAGTCTGCGATCCCCTCACTCACAAGCAGTAAGTTGACTTGAGTTTTTATCGTGTGGCCGGCGGCTTTTATTTGACTTGTCTGGCAACTCAAACCCCCATCACTTCCCCATTTCATCTCGCTCTCCTCTCTCTCTCAGTCTGGCACTCTTGTGAGTCCCGGTTTGTGTTTGCGGCTTGTTGCAATTATGAACGAGCAGCATGCAAGCAAAGTAAGCAAAGTAAAGCAAAGCAATGCAAAGCACATCAAGGCACTGAGCCCCACTGCTTGTTAATATATAAATTTTGCATGTGACAACGGGACGTATGCACAACATTTTAGTAATTCCGCTTTAATATATGCAGTCAAGCGCAAATAACTTTGAAACCCTCTGAGAACATGCTGGCATTCCTACGCCATGGTGATATATTTAGTGAATATAACTATATATTATTATTTTATTTTTTTTTCAGAGATTAACAAACACACGTGATTAATCATAATATGGTCTTAAGAAAGATGTATGTAAGTTAGATAACGAACCACTTATCAATCAATTGGTTAGATAGATAGCGTGAGAAATAAAACACTTAGAGGAGAATCAATAAATATCTGTCAGAGCTTGTTATAGATCAAGATATAGATATATTCATAGAGAAACACCGGGAATGTGAAGACTTTTAAGTGACCCACACATTTCCATTTACACAAGCAGTTTAAGTTCAACTCTATTTATTAATTAAAAAAGAATGCGTATCATTAAAGCGAACTATAATCACTTTACTCCCAATTTGCATACGGAAAAAGCGACAGGCTTCGATACCTGCAGCTACTTAATTATGATGATGTGGGTATTTAATGCCGCTCATGCTTGTATTTAAATAGTGGCAGTCTGCAACGCACAGATCATTTAATGTGAATGCGAAACGCTTGTAACATTTTGACAGCAACGCAAGCCGCACAAATGCTGGCAACCCCGTTCTGCATAAATGGTAACAGTTGTAGCGCTCTCTCGACTGGCAAAAGGGTGGCGAAAAAACAAAAAATATTTTAAAGCGGTTATGCAGTTATCCGTAAAACGGATTCGAAACAAAACCGGAAGCCGCAAAGCAAACAGACGCTTTGCAAAAACCGCGACAAGTCAACGGACGGAAAGCTAGACAGAGACACAAAGACAGAGGGAGAGAGAGAGAGAGAGAGTGAGATAGAGAAAGAAGGAGAGTGTTCAGAACGGAGGAGTAGTGGAAGGGGTTGCGGTTGTATTGGGTTGGGGCACGTGACTAAGGCATGTGTGTGAGGCGTTTGAGGGTCAATACACTGGACGGCGACGTCACCGGCGCATGAAATAAAGTTTTTGCATGTTTTTACTAAAATACTCAGCCGCATTTTTGTGCACCACATACATAGAAGGCAGAGTGACAGATAAACAGTCAGACAGGCAGCGACGCGGGAAGAATGGAAGTGTGTAGTTTTGGGAGACAGTGGAGCATAGCACAATGGGGCACATGTGTGCGGCATTGTCGCTGCTGCCAGTCCGTTTATCATATGAGCATGACGACACCATGAAGTATGCAACATGCAAAATGCAACATGCAAATGTTGCCCCTATTCTTGGTGCTTTTCTTGCGGACTTTGGTTTTGCTATTGTTGCCATTGTTGTTGTTGTGCATTTACAGCAGACACTAATCCTATTTATGTTGCATTGCAGCGAGGTTAATAATTTTATTTACCAACTGGCAGTGGCACGTCCCTTGCAGTTGCAGTCACAGTTGCAGTTGCCAACTTTCAGTTGCCGTTGCTCCTTAAGCTGCTTCTGCTTATGACACACGATACGTGCCGTGGGTTCGAGAAACTTTTTGTGCGGCAAGCAAAGATTTCTTGCAGGCAATGGCCTCCAGTGGTTGAGTGCCCGAAGTGCAGGTTTGAGTCGACAGTTGTCAGAGCTTAATTAATTTAATATTATTACTTGTTTATATAGAACACACTCTTTGTTGTAAACATAAATCATAAATTGCACGCTTATATTATCGCCGCGTTGTGTTTTTTGCAAACCGGAAGCCTAATAGCAAGAGAAAAATGATTTCCGTTAAATATTCAGAGTTTTGCACATTGCCTTGAGGACAAATACAAACATTATTTATTACACTTTACAATTGAAATGCAATTGATTTCATTTAACAGTAATACAAAGGAATACAAGCAATCATCAATCCAATTGTTCATTTACTAAAGCCTCTCGAAATGAATATGCCTCGCATATCACACGGTGTTATAGGGCATTAAAAGTATTAGGTGACAGCTGCCAAATCTTTGCTGACGTCGCTTTGGCAGCACGAGCACTCATGGCACATTTACACATATTACATATATACACACACACATATCCAAACAAACGTACACACACTCTTCGGTCTCGCTCCGGTTCACTTACTCTAAAGCATTTTTTCTCGCCCTGCTATAATGTAAAAATAATGTCGCTTCAGGCCGCATTGATTGCAAATAAATTACACACATTTGCCCGTAGATGACGGGACTGGAGTTCGCAGGATGATGTTGAAGTGACTCAGACTGAAACTGAGATGGTAACTGAGATGTGAGAAGCGAGTCAGATTAAGTGCCCAAAGAGCCGTCGTTGACTTAATAAAGCAGAACAAAACAAAAAAAAAAAGCAGAAAAAATCGAAAGAAGGCCACCAGCAAGCAACAACAGCTTGCAAAATACGACCAAAATGAACAACAACAAAATGATGGCAAGAATGCCAACGCCATTAATTTCACTTTGGCGCCGACGCCGCTGAAACTTTAATTAGAAAACCTTGGCCGAGATTTTGTGTAATTTTCTCTTGATGCCGATGCTGCTGCTCGCCTACTGATAATGAAGTTCCTTTTCTTGTACTTTTCTTGTTATTGCGTTCACACTTCCGCCTTCATTATGCGCAAATTATTTTAACTGCACTTTTGGTTTACCAAATTCCTCAACTCATTCCCCCACACCCCGTTAAGGCTGTGAAAATATTTTCACTGGATGCAGCCGAAGCTGAGACTTTGATAGCGAGTTCGCTTGCCCAGGTCCTTAGCGAAAATTAATCTACCCATTGCTCCAACCCACAACCCACAACCCCCAACCAACAACCCCCAACCAACAACCCCCACACCCTTATCTGCACTGGCCACCGTTCACTGTCATTATTCATTTTTCTGTGTATTTCTTTTATGCTCTGTAACCTTTGCCGCATTGTTTCTAGCCGCTGCCGCAGCTGTAAAGCAATTTTCGTAAGCATAATAGACTTTCCCAGGGTCCTGGCCAGCAAAAAAGGCAAAAAAAAAAACAAAGATGAAAATAAAAGAAAGCAAACAAAATGCCATAAAAATGACAGGGTGGTGAGAGGTGAGTGGCGACAAGTCAAAAATTAAAGAAAAAAGAAGAACAGCAGCTAAGCATTATTTCTCAAGGGGCGCAAAGCCTAAGTATTATGTCGAGAGTTTAGCTGACTTCTCGCTATCCTTTCTGCCCTGCCACGCCTCCAGCTCGTGGTCAGTGGCCACTGCAGTTGCAATTTAGCCTGTGGGCCATTCAGTGTGGGCTCAATTCTACGACTGCTGCTATTTAACTATGCATTTTGTTTGTCCTGCATCCTGCAGCGTTCACTTTTAGTCAACCCTCGCTCTCATTTTTGAAGTGCGCACTACAGTTCTTGTTTTGTGGTTATTGTTTGCTTTGTCAACAATTCTATTACCATTTGTTGTTGTTGTTGTTGTTGACTTAAACTGATTGAGCAAAGGTAGGGGCCCATAAGCACAATTCACTTAAAGCATTTAATTCAATGTGCAAAGTGGCGTATACGTAATCAGGTTGCAGCCTTAAAGTATGTCACAAATATGTATTGTCAGCCAGCGTTCCTGCAAACGATTGCGGTATTTGCTTATACA